CATATGATGTAGGAATGGGCCACTTCTCAACTGCTTATCTATGTATTGCTTTAAAGAAAACATGCATGTATATAATTCTAAGTCTGTCTTCCTATCAAACTCCTTTTGCATGAAAGCAGGAGCTAAACCTCAGCTCTAACTTGTAAAGCCCTGGAAAATTAGCATCATTCAAATGAATGCAAATAAGAGATCAACATCTCTTTGAGTTTTATATTTGCTGATACCAGGGAATCTTGAATAATCACCTGGATGCAGAAAATTGGCTCCCTCAATTGTTTTCCACTAACTTTAAGTCCTCATCATTTCCATTAACTGTCAGAGTTACAGCAAAAACAATTTGCAGAAACACCGTCAGGAATGGATTCCCTAGACTGAGTTATTATAAGGCTGGACACAACATCATCATCAAACACATGGCATATTATCCAGTTTATTAGGATTCACTGAAAAGGAAGGGACCCCTGCCCCCTACTGTTCTTGCTTTACTACACAGAACCATCACTGAAAGTGGCATGGCAAAAGAGCAACTTCTTTGCTGGAGGAAAAGCTGCATAACAGAAACAGCTTTGTCCTTCTGACCTGTGACGCGGTCCACATGACACACAAACCCACCATGACTATGAGGGCACCATAGCTTAGTGTGTTGTCTGAATTTATTTATTTAGAGCATTTTTATGCCGCCCCCTTCGCAAAAAGCCTCTGAATCTGGTACACTTCCAATGAAGTGGCTTGTTTGTAGCTTATAAGTCACCTAACCAGGCCATACTTGTTGCATAGTTTTCTTACCCAGCCCTGGTTTTGTGTGTCATGCAAACCCAAATGGTGATTTCCTTGTGCCTTGAGGTAATTTGCTACTAATCCACATGGCAAGAGCAACCACAGGCAAACCATAGGAGACCCAAATTCTCACAGGCAAAATTGGTTCCTAGGTTCTGCCTAGCAACAGATTACACTGTGCCTGCAGAAGCTTGCCCTCCATCATAAGCACTAGTAACTGATTGTGTTGTGGCAGCCCTGATTCCTAGTGAGTTACACCTCCAGTCCACAACAGGTAGTCCTCCTTCAGGAATAAGAGGTGAAGCTCTTTCTGCCCTACAGTGAAGAGCTGAGTACCAGTAGTGCCAAGCATGGTCTTCCTGTAGCCATTCATGTCAGGGAACCAGGAAATGATGCCAACTCCATTAATGTGTCTCGCTCTCTTGGCATGTGGCTTAGCATGCCATACAAACCCAGCCACTGTTAGGACAGGAAAACAAGGCTATACCCCCTACGCAGTTCTTCCACAGATGATGGCAGCTGGAATCCTTAGGGCAAAAAGAGTTGCTCTCCTGCCTTGCCATTATCAGTGGTGTTTCTGGCTGCCTTGTTTTGCCAAAGAACAGCAGTGTTGCAGAGCAAAGGTCCACCACTGCTTTCAGTGAATCCTAACAAACTAGGTATTCCACCATGTGCTGCTGCTCAGTGAGGTTCTTAGAGATATGATGAAGCAACCCCTTTTCTCAGCATCTGCTATATTTATGCCCTGGAAAGTTTGCTTCTGTTCCCTCATTCAGAGAGGCTTTGCCAGCTGTGTCTTCAAGGATGCTACCACACCAAAGGGTAGAACCATGTTGCAAACTGTGGATGACTGCATGGTGCAAAGGCCACCAAATAAAGGTGCTAGTAGGTCTGTTTCATTTCTGAGAAGATGGAAGGAAGAACAAGCACACAAAGCTTGCTAGTATAGTCACAGGATCAGGTTGTCATTCCTCACCAGTGAATCTGGTACTTTGTACAGTGGGTAGGAGACAGGCTGCACAGAGAAAGCACTTGTACCCTTGGTAATTTATATTTATCTATCTCTTTTGCCTTTTCTGTCTGCCTCTCAACCAACATTTCCTTCATGACTGCACCCTGCGTATCCCGTTTTGACACCATGGCAGTGTACCTTCTCCTATGCTGGTACCTCCACATAAACAAGCAATAAGTACACTCTGTCCCCTGAGAGCTCTTGCAAGCAGCCTGCCAGTTAGAACACACTGAGGTGTAATTCTCTTTAGCAACCACCTTCACTGAAAGCAGTCCTCCCACACACAATTTTTTGGGTACTTATGCTTTTCCATGCCATTTCTGTATGCTCCTCTCATCCCCAGTTCTGCTACTCTCTTCCAGCCCTGCTAAGCTTTCTTCTTCACTGGCAATTGATCCAGCACAACTGGATACTTCTTCAACCATCATTCTACATGGAGCACTGGCACTAATTTTCGCTGTGGCGGAGGCCCCCCTAAAAGCCATCATCACAGCAGCAGTGATGCAGAGGAGGAGGTGAGGTACCTTCCTGATATATCTATGACTGATTATGTGATACTCCTCCTGCAGCAACAACTGGCAGGATGGCGTGTGGAACAAGGCTTTCTTGGGAGCATGAGTCAGCCCCTCTGCATGGGACATGCAAGTGGCAGTTGCTGAGGAACGCTCCCATAAAGCTGTGCTTCTTTGTGTCTTGATTCTGCAGCTCACAGGAAACAGGTGAATTGTATGCCAGTGAACACTCCCCACACAGTTTTGTAGGTGTCAGTGTTGGACATGAAGGCTTGGGATGATGCCAGGTTTGGGGCAGTCTTCACATGTCTTGGGGCACCTTTGGAAAAAAATAGCTTCTGAAATTAGACTGATTCTTGCCAGCCCGACACGAAAATGCACAGGAGCATCTCAGAGAAAAGTTGACTAACAATATTGCTTTCAAACTTGGCTACCTACTCTTGGTCACCCTGGCACCAATAAGTCTACTGTATGCAAAAGCTTCAGGGAGACGGTACACTTTCTAAAGGAGTCTACTTACTGAGACATAAAGGCAAAGAATGAGCAGAAGAACAAGAAGGGGTTATGAGAGCAGTGCTTCCTTTAGGTGGCAGATAGCCACAAATGGTTCTACACCATGACCATCCAAGCACTGGTCATGCTTGCTTTTCAAAGCATGCCATGATCTCGGGGGAGAGTTCTTCTTTTTCTGTTATGGATAGAGTTTAACTAGCATGTGATCTTGCAGAACTAAACATGGGGTTGAGCAATCTCATCATCTTCCATTTCTTGGGAAATGTTCGATGAATTTTGGGGAAATGTCATTCTTCTTTCAGAACATTTAGGGGAATGTTCTTCTTCATTAAGTACATGCTGGGAAATGTTTTTCATTAAGGACATGGACATCATGAAGTATGTCAAAATTAGGATTTGTGCAATTTTATTTGTATATTAGATTGCTGTTGTATACAGGAAATAGCTGATACTGAGTGTCCCTTAATCCATTCTCAATTGCAGACATATGGGACACCATCCAATACAAATATCACTGAATGAGTACTGGTTAAATGAACCTTTAAAGGGTGCAATCATGTCTGAGGGAGAATAAATAGCCTCAATCCACTTGAACAGAAGTATCCTATTTCCTGAAGCTTCTTGCATACTTTGATGACGACAAAGTAAAGTACAAATATCAAATGGATCACAAACACACACACTTAATATTTAAGAACTAAATGGCAACAGGCAAATAAAATCCAAGTAGTCAGAAATATCTTCATCAACCTGTCTAAAGAATTAAAGAGAAAGGAGATGAAGAGGGAACAAAATAAAAGGAAAGAAATGTGAGACTGTGTTACAGGAAAGAGACAAGAAGTTGTACTGCAAGATTTATGCATTCATGGATACAGTAAGTGCATGCAATAGCAAACACCACAGGAAGCAAATTGAGGAAATTGTCAAGAGTACAGATTGGAAAAATAATGGATCATCATACTTTTGTTAGAAAAAAATACTTGCACTGGAGACATAAGGCCAAGGAAGAAAAGAATAAAGCTAAAGGACAGGCTAAAAAGAGAGGAACATAAAATTTGAAGAAACATAAACATGGAGGTATTTCTGAAACTATTGAAAAGGTTCAACAAGTACTTCAGTTTATCCAACATACAGCAGCAAGACTCTCACTGCCCCCACACTACATCTGGATTTGACTGTATTATGCCAATTCGTCTTTAGGCCCAGTTGAAAGTCCAGGCTAGGGTTCAAGTTAGGTTTTCAAGCAGATTACCTGAAGGATTGTTTCATCTCATATATGCCCATCTGGCCCTCAAGATCAACTTCTCCAGTGTCCACATGCCCCCAACATGTGAAATATGATAAATGGTTTCTGTGCAGAGCGCCACATTAGTGGTGGCACCCCAGTTATAGAATACCTTCCACTGACAGACTAGTTGTGGCTATTTCAGCCCCTGGTGAAGAACACTGAATTTCCCCAGAATTTAATATCTGTAAACTTTTGAGTATACTGAAGTTTGGATCTGTGCATCCTTTTAGAAGGCTGCATATTTCTCTATACTGTGTGACTTTCTAATGCTAGTTTTTTTTTTGGGAAAAGAAAATACAAAGTACATTTATTCCTTATACTAACATGATTGCGTCCTTGAGTTTTTATTTAAGTTGAAAGTTGCTATTTATTGTTCTGTGATTATATTAATCTTATGAGGCAGTGTATATATATTTTAAAAACAAATTAATGCTTCTATTTAACGAACAAAATTAAGTGTTCTTATGAGTGCTGTTTAGAACTCTGCTGGAAGACATGAACCTTACCCAGCCACTTACCTTGGAGTCTCCCATTCCCATCCCCACCACCCCCAGGCACCAAAGCTGTAAACCAAGGGGTAGAAAATATGCAGCTACATATGCTGAACCAGTGCAGCTTCTGCCACATCATGAAAAAATGTGCTAGAGTATTTTTCAAAGCATCCAATTTGCACAGAAGGTTGTTTGCAACAGCATCTTCAAGGACCAATTAGTTCAATAATTTGAAAAAAAAAATGGGATGGTCATCTGGCGAACAGTGGCTCATGGGGTGTGTGTGTCTCAAAAATAGCACCCAGACCTCCCAAAGTTCCTCCCCTTCTTCTAATTATTAATTTAACCTGGGATTTAGGATACCAGAAAGAGCAAGTACAAATCCATGCATAGAAACAATGTTGTACCTGCAATAGCCTTCTTTGGAGAATCAGATAAGCTGGACATCCAAACTTCAGAGCCCAAGAAAAGAAGCAGCAGAAAAAGAAGAAAAGCAGAAGAGCCATTAGAGATACAGAGAAGCAGTTTTACAGCTCTGCAAATACTAAACAGGTTTAGTTCTTTTTTAATGTGGACACGGAGAGGCTATGTCCACAAATCTTGCAATAAGGAAACAACTGAGAAGGCTGCTAAAGGAGAGCATTGGCAGACACAAAGGTGTTCCCAGGATAGAGTTTGTAAACAACAGAAATAGGTTGTTAGTTACATATTTTTTTCCTGTTGGTCTAAGATTCAAACCAGACATTATTTTAATCTGTATCTAGCAGATGTAGTTTTCTTTTCCAATTTTACTCCTGGATAAGTGCCATGTAGTTAATCCAGGAGGTAGAAAAGGCTCACAGCAGGTGGAGGACCGCCCCCCCCCCACCCATCCCTACACTATTCAGATTTGGCCTCCTTCACCTATTCTAGAGTAAAAATGGTGCTAAGAAGAGACATAGCTGCTACATATAGATTTAAAGTACTGCCTGTTTTAGCCCTAATCAGAATATTTGCCTTACAACTATGCAATTATTCACAAGACCTATTTCATACGGAGCTAAGCCAAGGGCTGTCAACCTATTAAAGAATTCTGAACTATTAGGCTCACTAGAGAACAGGTAACCTCTAAATATTCCATACTGTCAAATATACAATGAGAATTAATTAGTTAATATCTGCTTAATTCTGACACATTGCCAAAACTCCTGTTTAGACATTCTTGTGAGAAACTCAAGTTTAAATATTTGTTTTATTCAACTGCAAGTTAAGCTGTAAGAACCAAAATAACCTCCCCAAACCTTTCAACCCCAGTATTAATCATGTGTAGCCCCACCAATAAAACCCACACCTCCCCATAAGCAAATAATCAACTAACGTTTTAGTTGACCTTTCTGTCAATTAGAGCTTATAGCCCTAGTTAAACGTGTTGTTGAATAAACTGGTCTTTCATAGTCATATAGAGTAAAAACAGGGAAAATAGATTCCTTTAGGACACTGACAAGAGTGGGAACCACAAGGAATGAAATTGCCCATAATCAATTTAAAACCTGCAATATATCTATATATGTGAAAATAAATTCAACTGAGTTCAGTGGGGCCAAGTGTCCTTGACCATTCATTGAAGCCTATGGGTGGAATCCTGTGTCATTTCAGACAGGAAAAAAGGCTTCCAATTCCTAGCATGCCCAGGTAGCTAGTCTGGAGGCCAATTTCCTCTTCTTTAACCCACCAGGGTTTACACCCTTTCCCCAATTAATTGCCACCAACCTGTCAGGGGAAAAAAGCAGCAGCTTGTTGTCAAGTATCATTGGTACAATAGTCTTCTTTGCTATTTAAACACGGCCAAATTTCAGTGACAAACTTTCCCCTTTTTGCCAGTGCCATTCTATTAAATTTCAGTGGTGGTAGGGAGGCAGTTGGAGGTTATGTTGTCCTCACTATAAGAAGAATTTTCAAGTCCAGTTTGCATCAGGGCCTGCCTCTTGCTCCCTAGTTTCTAGGGGCAGAGGTCATTCATATCACTCACCAACCTATAAAAAGTAAGACCTTTTATACAAGAGAACATATTGTCAAGCTTCAACTATTGATAGCAAACAACTAAACATCTGAAGAACCTTATCTTGAAGAACATAGGGACCACTAAGCTGCAACCATTTAGGGTAGCAATTCCATCCCATATCCTGTACCAACATAATCATCATCTCCCCAGGCTTAGATAGAATCAAGTTTAGGGGAGAAAACAGAGTTCAAAACATTGAAGCAGTCACTAACATTTTATCTCCATGTGGCCTTGCCCCCAGAGGTATACTTGGCTGAGCCTACGTACCACTGCAGATCACAAGCTTAACAAACTCCAGACCATTTAGGGTTTGGCTATATTCAAGGGGGTAGCTTTGGATCTGTGTCCAAATAGGAGCTTGTACAGATCCTGGAGCAGGTATTATGTACTCTCAACATGTGTCCCAAACACTGTCAAATGAAACGCTAAGGATTTACTTGTAACACCACACTATACTGGTTACAAAATCCTATGCCTCAGTTCATTCACCTGTAAAATGGAAGTTACCCATCCCTGAATAAAACCTCCATCTCTGGGGGAGAAGACACACGCTCCACTCTGAGAGTCTTGCCCATGACCCCAACTGTACTTAGATTTGTGGTCGTTTGGTGGTGTGCAAGGAAAAGTATTCCACATGTTCAGTGCAGAATGCTCAAGGGCACTGGGTCAGAGGCAGATGCAGTCAACTTGAAGAAGACCTGGTGAAATCAGTGGAACTTAAACCTTCTTGTCTAATTTAAACATTTCAATGGGTCTACTCTACACAGTACCGAATCTGGATCCAGCACTTTTTTAATTTAGATGTTCCAGAGCCAAGTACATGGCTAAACCTTTGCCACGAGGCTTTTATTTAGAAGAGTTTGTGCATGGCAGTTAAAACACTAAACCGATACAAACATACTTCTATTGAGGTTTGTCTGGATAAAGAGAAACAGAGGTGACAGTATAATGAAATAAAGCCACAAAATAATTCCATCCAGGGGAAAAACTTCAAAACTCCCCAACTACCCCAAACAGAGTTTGGACTAGCCATGCCAAACCAATATTGAAAGAGCCAAAAAACAGGCAATGATGAAAAATATCTGGAATAAGAAAATGCCTAGAGCTTAGGGTTCTATTGGAACCATATGCTCCTGCAGTGGCACAAGATATCGCTTTTTAGAATTGTATGGAACTGACCTACTTGGGGAAAGGGGTTTAGAAAGAAGTGGAATGAGATTTTATCCCTGAACTGCATTTTGCAGGAACAGCTGAAGTGTAACCAAGTTATTCACACAATTGCCATTTAATCAGATTGTCCTGAATGCTAATTGGTTGTAAATGTTTAAATTAAGCCTCCCCCACGCGCACGCGCACACACGTCAGCAGCAGCTGAGCCAAAGCAGAGCACAAAAGGCAGGAAACTGAGAAGCAAGCAACTGGCAACTATATCGCAGATTTCCAAATAAAAAGATATACGTATGTATAGTAAGAACACCAGATCTCCCCTCATCTGACAGCAGCTAGACAGAGATGAGAGTGCTTCTGAAGGGGAAGACAGCTAGCATATTTCACTTCAGAACATCTGTTTAACATTACTTATAAGGCTTTAATTCTTTTAATAAAATAAAAAGCACAACGTTTATGCTTTAATTGGGCCCAGCCTTTACAACAGGGGTGGGCAACCTACAACCCTAGGTCCACATGTGGCCCCTGGTCTAATTTCATAGGGTGTGGAGAGCCTGGAGTAACAGAAGGAAGCCATGGGGGGGGGGGCACAATTCAGACCTCTGACAAGAGCAATCTGTTCCTCCCTGGCAGTCTGCTGGGCACTGAAGAACACAAAAAAGAGGATGGCTGAGACAGAGAGAAAAAGAAGGTATCAGAGGGGGAGGGGGAGGGGGAGAGAGGGGGGTAGGGACAAGGAAAGAGTGACCAGGGGGGTAGGTAACTTTGCCAAATTTTAGCTCTGGCTCCACCCAGTCCTGGCATACACTCCCCACTGATTAACCCAGGATAGTAATGCCTTTTTCCATGATACAAGCTGCCCCACCATTAACAGTAAATTATAACACACATTAGAGCATTGATTTCCACCAGGGCATAAGAAGAGGAGGGAGGTCAGATGCGGGAGTACCAAGGTAGCCAAGGTGACTTTCTTTTGAACATATCATTTTTACATGGTTGAACAGACAGTCCAAGTAATGACATGTAAAACACCCTGAACTCAAATTTTAGTTGGACTCATTATGAACAAGTATTTTCCTCCCGTGAATTATAAATTTGGCTTGCCATGTCTGGGTCCATGTTCTTTCCCACAGTGCCTTACAGATGCCACCTGGGGGCAGCTCCCTCTTACACCACTATGCATTCTCTTGGCTAACCTCCAGTGGCAAAAGAACCATTTCTGATAAATAACAACTTGGGTCCAAGTAGAACTGCAAATTCTGAGAGTGGACAACAGGATTTTGCAATCCCAATTCCAATCTTTGAAAATCTCTCTCTCATTCTCTACTGGGAACACTAGGACCAAATTAAAAGGCAACAGACCAGGACATATGAACAGTTTTGAACAGAATCCAAGAAAGGAGTGGAAGAAATTATGTTAAATTCATAACAGCAGCTATCAGTCTAAGTACTCTGGTCTGGTGAACACCAGCTATTGAGAAGATGAATATCAGCAATGCACAGATCCGGGTAAAAGAATTTCAGGCTAAGGCTTTCCCATTTGTAATAAAACAGCAAATTTATATCATGAACGAGTGATGTGCAAAGGTCTGCGATCGTCACTCAGTCCAAATGTGATCTCATTCCCTCAGGAAGGAATGCTAGTGTTTTGTGTATTCCACTTCTCTCCTCATTCTTACTTCCTTTTTCTGTCATGATGTAAACTTCCAGGCAGGGACTCTTTTGTTTGCATGATTTCATATAAGTGTTTCTGGTAGCCTTTGGTCTGAAGGCCAAGATTTAAAAAAAGTTTTAAATAAATAAGATATAGAACTGAAAAAGAAATGATTGTATGTTCTGGGCTCACACAACACATGCCACACTTAAGGTTGAGTATGGATTGTCACTGAATTGAGGATTTTTGAAGCATTTTGAGCTACTGTTTTGTGGGAACCCAACTATGCAAACAAACCATGGTTTGTTAATCATGAAAATGAGGAAATGAAGTCCAACTTTCTCAAAATACAGCTAGGTAGTTTGGATTCTGAAGAGGAGTTGGCAGATAACCCTGAACCATCAAGGTTACAAGGTGAAGTTACTCAGACAGCGTCTGTGAACAAAACTGTCTTGGGAAAAGGAGAAATTGCAGAACAGGAAGGGTTGGAGGAAGTGGGAGAATTGTTAGACCTCATAAAGAGATGACAGGCTAAATGAACAGGCCAATTAGGTAATGTCAGTTGTTTCCACCATGAGGCCCTGAAAGTG